TGTTGATGCTGCCATGAGTACCCTGTCATCATTGAGTCGTTCTGCAGTAGCCAAAGCATAGGCTGTGAGGGCCGTAGTGTAAGGTCTTTGCAGTTTCTCATACTTTTTGAGTAAATAATCTGTGGCCTTATTGATGCTGCTGTCTAGAATCTAGAAGTAAAGGCAGAGGAAAGAGAAGAGATCCAATAAGAATGTTGGAGAACAATTTTAGGCATCTCTATGGAACATCATTTCCCTGAAGTACGATTGGGCCCCACTCAGTTGCTTTGTTGAAAGGCCCTAAACATGATTTTGTCAGTACATCTGGGGACCACAAATGGAGATGGAACCCATCAAATGGTTGATTTGATTGTGTTGTTGCTGCTGCCATGGAGTAGGGGGAGGATAAGGGTTATGTTGTAAGCTGCCCAGAGTCACCTATTTGTGGTGTTCAGTAAATAATAAACTGAATATGTGCTGCCCTCTTCCTGCTTGTATGTTTTACACGCTAATAATGCAAGTTTAGTCATAATATGTGTTATTTTAAGCTTTTTACACAGGAAGAGATGTTGGGGATAAATTCATTAGGAACGTCTTAAATGGAGATTCCACTAGAGAATGTGTGTAAAACCTGCAATGCTATGTGATGCACCTGGAGAAACCCTTTCTAAATAGATCTTTCTAAATGTGCCTTTGGGGAATGCTGGTGATAAAAATTACGCTGCAGCAGTGAAAAGGCTCTTTGATATTTACAGATAATTAACTGATCTAAATACCTTGCAGGCTTGACAGTATATGTATAATTTTTTAAATGTATCCTTATTGAACTGATTTATTTATTTTGGTTTCATTGATCTCCTTTGTATTCTCATTGTGATCCTGAAGGCTTTTAATTCCAAACTTTGGGGCAAGAAGATGGGTAAATTGAATATTATGATAAAAAAACACCCTAGAGATGTGCTCATATTTTGGCCCCCCTCATACCATTTCCCATCAGAACATCACATACATTGATATGTTCATTGCAGACTGATCTGGATTCCAATAATGCAACCAGAATGAATGCTGTTAAAGATACTTCTGGTTCAGCACCTTTAGTTCCTCCCTAGAAAAAAGCAGTGAGAGGTGGGAGAGAAAAGGTCAAAGTTAATGCTAATAAATAAATACTTCTCTGTAATTATACATAGGGGTATATGGGGAACAGCAAAGAGTTAAAGGTGTTTTTTTTAATCTCTTGGCTGCCATCCACATTTCACCATTCAATTTACAGCGTTGTTGAAGAGCTGGAATTTGAGAAAACATTCAACTTTGCATAGCCATATGGGAGCTATAACCTACCCTAAAAAGAATAAGTAATAAATGTTTCCAGTAATATCTGGTAGAAGAGATAGGAAAATGATTATAGTAAAGAACTGTGGAAAGAAAGAATGAAGGGAAAAATGCATCTTGAGCCTGTGTCAAACGCTCACCATGGCCACGCCCAATTCTGGCCACACATACCCGCCCTCCAAGGTCAACACATTTCTGATGTAGCCCTCAATGAAATTGAGTTTGACACCCCTGGTCTATATAGTCAGACACTACCTTAGGTCCTTGGTTAAGACTTGAACTGTTTAACCAGTCCCAGACTGTTAAAATTGAAGTTAAAATTAAAATAATAATAATAATAACAACCAGAATAATTTCTATAAAATCCTTGAAAATGGACATGGTATTACCACAAGTGAAAAACCTAACAAACAAAATACCCTGAAATATTGGAAAAACTTGTGGGAAAGCACAATGGAAATATAAAGTGCATCAAGCAGGTTGAAACCACAGTAAAAGTGACTAGAATGGAAGATGTTCACATAACAAAAGAAATGGTGCAAAAACAAGGAAAGAAGGTCAAGAACTGGAATGCCCCTGATTTAGATAAGCTGTATGGATTCTGGTTGAAATCACTAACAAGT